TTCGATGGACTTTAAATAAGGCATATGTCATATATACCAAGAATAACAGCATGAATTCACACCCAGATGACAGAAGAATATTAACATTAGTCAATTCAACAAAAACAAGTAGCAAAAAATCGTAAACGACAACGAAATAGCATAACTTGCAAGAAATCGACCAAGAACTGCCAGGCGTCTCGCAGTTCAAGTGCACTCTACCCATCAGCCCCTTCGCCATCTCTACAATACTTGATGTAAACTCGTCATATGCGCATCACTGTTTTTTTACAAAGAGACGCCTGGGTACAAGGCAGACATCAGATAACGTTGTTGCCGCAGATTAGAATACAATCTCGTACCCAGAGCAATGCCTGTACGCGGGCTAGGATGGCATTGGCTCTGGGGAAATTGAATTTTTCCTGTGTTGTGATTGGTTTAAACGTTCATCATAGTTTTCAAGTTTAAAAGTTTATTTATTTTAAAACAGTTTTTAATAAATTATTATATTAAGTTCAGTATCTCAAATTCTTGAAAAATTTATAAAAATAATAAGACGTTATATAAACAAACTGATATGCGGTAAATATAGCCAGTATAAATAAAAAATTTCATAAATTTTAAACCATACCTTTTCTGATTCAAGCCCGACGTATTCAATCATTTCAATGTCAGAAAACTGTATTATTGTACCATGAAATTATATGATTTCCAAACATATGACAAGCAATGCTTGCCACACTCATCAGGTGAATTTAAATGTCGCGCTACATATTAAAATAATATTACTATTATTATTATTATTATTATTATTTTTTATTATTTTTATTTACAATGCTATTTAAATAGCGTGACATTTAAATTCACCTGATGAGTGTGGCAAGCATTGCTTGTCATACGAAACAAGTTTGTAGTGAATAAATCTTATGAAGTAAGCCGGGTTTATTTTATCTTTACATACATATATATATATATATATATATATATATATATATATATATATATATATATATATATATATATATATATATATAATAATAACTTTTAATCATATTGGATCTATTTAATATTCCCCGAGCCAACGGCGCCGAGCGCCGTTCCGGGGCGACGGTACTAATTCGGCCCGGCTATTTACACCCGGGGAAAGGGAAGCATTAGCGAAGTCTAAAGTTCATCAATGATCGCGGACGTAGGTGACCAACCATGGGTGGTCATCCTCACTGATCTCAAAAATATGGCTGTTTGCCAGGAATGGGATAAGCAAGATTTCAATTTTCAAAAGCATATATTTGGAAAATCACGTTTCACACAATTAGCTTTGAAACAAGTTTTGTTTGAAGAAATGAGAAGAATTGATTTACTGTGGGAAATCTTGAAATATAGGGCAAGTTTGCATTGAATGTTTAATGTTTATGAATTTTGTTGCTTTAATTTATTGCGTATAAAAACATGCCCTGCTTTCCTTTCCAATGAAGCTGTATTAAAGTTTGCTAAATTACCCTGTTTAGTTTAAGAGAACAAAGGTAAAATATAAAGGAGAGCAAATTAATTTGGAAACCGAACTGAAATTACTCAACAATTTGAACTTATTTTGTTTTATTAAGTAAAAACAGTTTATCGGAAAAAGCAGTTTATACACCTTTATGATGTCAGGGGCAAAGGTCAATCTGACCTAAGCTTCACAATGGCGTCAAGTAAAATCATGGGTAGTACTTGTCCTATAAAAACAAATAAAGAAGCTTGTTGATGATCCAGCATTAGGATTCATAATAGAACAAGACGCTCTCTCGAGCGTTAAGTTGCTGGGGCTTTTTAAATAGGCGCCTGCGTGATTTGCAACGAGCGGTAAGAGTATATTCAACGAATTCCTAGATCCACTGAAGAATTCCTGTTAATACCCATGAAGAGAGACCCTGGAAGAATTTCAATTTTTACATTTGACCCCTGAGAAAATCTCATTCAAAATATCCATTACCGGATTACCCCCAAAGAATTCCACACAGAAAATATTTGCTTATCCCTGAGGAATTCCAAAGCTAAAAATTTATCACCTCATTCCAGCAGAATTGAAAGCTGGAATAGCCCATTTTGTGCTGGCACTGTGGCACAAGTGTTCATACTTGGGCTATAATAACCCCTTATTCATATTTGAGGATAATTACAGATTTGTATATTTTTATTTTAACTTGTTTATAACAAATTTTAAAACACAAAAATTGTTTATCAGACAGTTAAGGACTAAGGAGTCGTTTGTGAATTAACCCACTGAGTGACAGCACTGATGAGTAAAATCCTTGGCATTAGACACAGTAAAATAATAAAGTAGGTCACATGAGGGTACATTGCCACTTAAAGGGTTATATGATATGGACAATCGCATATATTGATTATTGGTGCGGAATTTAGCTTTTTGCACCTAACTGATGCATGCGATAGACAGTGGTTATATTTCACCTCAGGGCCGTACATACTAAAATGCATACTAAACATACTAAACGTCGACATACTAAAATGCTGTTTTCTGACCATCAGAATTCTATCAAATCTTTCCCAAAGTTCAGGAAATGGCATTTCAGAGACTCTAAATTTAAAAATTTCCTCGGGCCTTTGGCCATTGCTTTCAGTTCCCCAATCAAAAAGAGCTTCCCACAGCACTGCACTCCCTGAGCTATTGGCATTAAAATTTTACATAACTTTATATTAGCAGTCAGTGGTGTAGAACTGAATCGCTAACAAAGAGGGCCCTCAAAGAGGGGGGGTGACAAGACGTGGGGTAACCAGGCATTGAGGGTGCAACATGGTAAATAATATAAATAGTTCCAGTATTCGCTTTTGGTTCTAGCAATTCTTCAATTGGTGATTTTTAACTAAAGGGCTTAATTAACATCAAATAATACACTCCAAAATATTGAAGCTATTACATGTTAGAGCCACATAAATATCATCAAATAGTTAGATCATAAAGGTACAGATTACTGATAGATTATAAATTTTGCAATCTGCAAAAATATTGCGAGGTTAATCTTCCCAAGTTGACATTAAATTTTTAACAAGGGGACCCCTCTGTTTGCAATCTATTAAATAAGCAAATAAGTTACAAGCAAAAATCATGAATACATGATGCAGTTTACAACAAGAACATGGGAGTTTTAAGCTAATAGTTCAGTCCTATAACCAGAATAATAAGTGGACCTTATGTAATGTTAACATAATACAGCCAATGGCTGCAAGGTTTATCAATTAAAAACATCCATCTATCTAAGAAATACCAATCCAAGATTGTGTGTCACGTACCTCGTGTGCCACTTCAAAACAGCCAACATTTGAGCCTTCTTGAAAATAGAGCTAGCATGCAAATATGACAGTTCCAATACATGTAAACAAATACGATTTTTATGCAGACTATTGGAGCAACAAGGACTATAAGCCATATTAAAGCGTATATAGATGTAAAACTTCACAAAACAAAAATATAAACGTTCAGAAATAATGGTACGACGAATAAATAACACAGTTATTGTCAGTTAATCCACCTCGGAATCTACTCCACTCCTCGATAGTGAAACGTCGACATAATTCTGTATATTCTTGATGGATTTCTTTCAAAAAGCCCCCAGAAGAAAAAGTGTGATTGAAAGAACAATTTGACGTTCACTTTATACACTTACGAAGACTTTAAGACCGTTAAAATAGCGAAAATGTATGCACGTATTGCTTCGTATATAGATCAGTGGGAATTTCCATTTTGCGACTATCCATGGAGAAGGAGACTAATTTCACCCGAAACCTATAGTTGCTGCCCCAGCAACTAATTAAAGCTGCTTAAGAAGAGGACGATTTCTCATCAGAAAGTTTAGTGCAAGTTAGTCTTTATTTCATGCTAAACCATTTAAAGATGTTTGTTTACCGATGTTTTGGTATTTACATACGTATTATGGTTAAATTTTACGTACGTTTATCATATTTACATGCTAATTTGCGCTATATAAGTTTTAATTATTATTGTTATTATTATTATTATTATTATTATTATTACTAAATGTATGTAGATCTGCCTGGATTTATTAGCCCATCTGTCATCACTGGTGACGAGTTACGACCAGACCTTCTATTGACAATTGAAAATAAGATTTTGTACATTCTAGAATTAACTGTTGGATTCGAAACAAACCTGAAAACTAACTCAGATCGAAAACATGAAAAATATTTGACTCTAATTACCGATCAAGAAAATATATATGATGAAGTTAAGTTTGTTAATGTATCTATAAGCTCTTTAGGTGTATTTGGTGAATCGACGAATACTTTATTTGATATGCTCCATGATCTGAAGTACGACGAACAATGTATTAAATATGTAAAAAAGAAAATAATTGCTACTTGTATTCGCACGTCGTATTATATATTCTGTAGACGAAACAAAGACTGGAACAACCCAGAACTTTTAAACTTTTAACTAAATTTAAAAGATTTTCACCTGTATATATATTTTAGCTTTAAACTCAATTCAAGTGGACATCGATAAGCTACCTTTTATTAAGTGAGGTTTATCAATGTATATATAGTATATCGTAAATATCTAATAAAAAGTTTCCATTATTATTATTACTATTATTACTATTATTACTATTATTATTATTATTATTATTATTATTATTATTATTATTATGGCTGGAACTTCCAATATCTGCAACCCTTAGCAATGTGTATCTTCCCCAAAGCAAATTTGGTTTGAATATCATTTTGCCTTCGACGAAATTTATCCAATGCCAAACTGTTTCTCGTTCAACTTTAAAAGCGTCTATAAACGAAGACATCAACAAATTATGGTTAATAACAAGCACGAACAAGAATATTGAGTATGATATATATAAAAATACGAAGGATGTCTTGAAAGCCTTTAGGAATGAAAATGAACAGACACTACAAAACCACCTTATCTCACAAGGTTCTTTCTTCTCAAGTATCATAAAAAACTCCACGTCATCATTCAATTCCTTATGGTCATCCGTTCAATCCAGACTTCCTAAGAATATATTTAATTTCACTGTCCATTATATCAACAACTCCCTCCCTACTCGGAAAAACCTGGTCAAATGGGGTCTGTCATCGTCTGCCGATTGTTCCTTTTGCTCCTCTCCTGAGTCACTCCTGCATATCATCTCTGGTTGTAAAGCATATCTAGATGAAGGGCGATTTACATGGCGGCATAATTCAGTCCTGAACTTCATTGCATCCAGCCTTATGAGTGCCGAGCGATCCAAACTCTACGTAGATTTACCTGGCTTTATTACTCCGTCAGTTATCACTGCAGGTGATCAGTTACGTCCAGACCTTCTCTTGGCAATTGAAAATAAAGTTTTATATGTTTTGGAACTGACTGTTGGCTTTGAAACAAATCTTAACTCTAACTCAGACCGAAAACATAAAAAATACCTGCCGCTTATTTCAGATCAAGAAAGTAACTATGATAAGGTAAAATTTGTTAATGTATCCATAAGCTCGCTAGGCGTTTTTGGTCAATCGACGAACACCTTAACGGATATGCTCAAGGAACTGAAGTTTGATGAACAACAAATTAAATACATTAAAAAGAAAATCATTGCTATTTGTATTCGCACATCATATTATGTATTCTGTCAGCGAAACAAAGACTGGACTAGCCCAGAGCTTCTAAAATTTTAAACAATATTAAATTTCCTATTTTTGTAAATTTATATAATCCAAATATTTTTCAAGTAGTCATCGATAAACTACCTATATGAGCGAGGTTTATCAATGTAAATATAGTTTTATGGTATATTATGAAATAAATAAAGTTTCCATTATTATTATTATTATTATTATTATTATTATTATTATTATTATTATTAGTTTCCATTATTATTATTGATTACGACATCGAGCAGAGCGTTCAAACGCGTTCTGTACATGTCCACAGTTTTATCGCTGGTTTCTTACTTGAATCACATTTATATTTGTTTAAAATTAAACACAAAAGTTTCTAATCATGATTCGCTCAAGTTTTATTGCTATGTTGCTCATTTGCGTCGTGTGTTCATTCTGTGGTAAAGATTTTGTAACGCTTGGGCGACACTCATGGCGGTGTAAACAACGTATTAATCATGATCAAAGCCGCTCTGGAAACACAGAAAGAGAAATGCCTGCTTTGAGTAATCGTAACATACCTATTACACAACGAACTGTAATTAAATGTTGCTGCGGCAAAGTTTGTAAAGGCAATCGGGGTTTGAAAATGCACCAGCGTAGCTGTCAAGTCTTACATGGGCTAAACAACGAGTTGTGCGCAGATCTTGAGGAGCAAATTGCAGATAACCCTGAGAATATCATAACGGACGACCACCCACCCACAACACAGTCAATTTTAGACAGTGAAGAAATTACTCCTGATCTAAAGAAAGGCATAAATCTTCCGAAGAAGGACTCTGAATGGGAAACGGCCAACGATTATTTTAAATTTGCAATCCCTTTTAATGGACCAATCATATCGCAAGATTTCAATTCAAGTATAAGGCATTTAAATGATACTATATATAATTACTTTGTTGATAATTTTGGAAATGTTGAGACGGCCCCCGACGAGAAACTCGTAGCAAAGTATAAAGATCATTCTATAAAGGATCTAAAGAAGGCTTTAAGCAATTTAAAGTCCACAAATTCGGAGGTAGCCGAAATAAAATATGTGTCTCGTATTCTGCGCAATAAGCTTCGTAACCATGGTGACATTCAGACAGACTCCAACCGAGACAACTCGTTTAATCACGACAAATACATGGAAAGAAATTTTTGGGGTTATGTTAAAAACGTTTTAAATAAGGAAGATGCTGTGTTTCCATCCTTCAGCATGACAGAATGCGCGGTTTATTTTACTAAAACTTTAGCTGCAGTTCACCCTGGCAAACTGTTTCATATTCCAAGCTGGATTCCGAGGTTATCCGATCCGCAAGTGGAATTTGACCTTGACCCGCCTTCATACCAACAAGTTACTGCTGTTCTCCTTGTCCTCTCGATCAAATATCAGTCATATGCTTTAAGCGATGTCCTTACCTAAGAACTTATTTAACTGAACTAATACGCGCTGTCTGGCTTTCAGGATCTATCCCAAGTGAATGGAAAAGAGCTTGCACTATACTTATTCATAAGAAAGGCAACACGAGTATTCCCTCAAATTTCCGACCGATCACACTCGAATCTATACCGCTTAAAGTATTTACATCATGTCTACGTAACGCAATGTACTCCTTTCTCACCGCCAATAACTTTATAGAACATAACATACAAAAAGGCTTCACCCCGAATCTGTCTGGTACTATGGAACATACTGCGCAAATGGCTAATATAATCAACAAAGCTCGGATAAAACAACGTTCACTTGTCATCACACTACTTGACCTCAAAAACGCTTTTGGAGAAGTTCATCACAACTTAATCCAATCTGTCCTTGGCTATCATCACATCCCTAATCACATGAATAATTTAATAAAAGCTTATACACTGATTTTAAAACTTCCGTAATTACGTCTGAGTTCCGTACCCATTTTATACCTGTTGGCCGTGGTGTATTGCAAGGTGACTGTCTTAGTCCTCTACTATTTAATATGTGTTTCAACACATATATTCAGCATATCAAAGCTGAAAAGTACCGTCAGTTCGGTTTCTCCCTCCAACTTCTTAATCCAATCCACTGGTTTCAGTTTGCCGATGATGCTGCGGTTATTACTGGTCAAGAGTCGGAAAACCAACATCTCCTTAATCGATTCTCTATCTGGTGTCAATGGTCCAACATGGTTGTTAGAGTTGATAAATGTAGCATATTTGGCATCAAAAAAGTTTTATCAAAATCTGCCCAGTACCTGCCGAAGCTTTTGATCAATAAGGATCTCATAC